TGTGACCGCGAGTGAAATTCTCTTTATATGAGCTCTATTACGAAAAAAAATTTCCTCCGACGACCCCCCTTGATATTTTGTGAGGTGGTAGGAGAACGCCTTGGGGTGTCACAAAAAACTCGGCATATCTGGGAAAACTTCGTAAAGCGGTCAAAACTGACCAGTTGTATTTCCCTATATAATCTTTGTATTTTATTGGAAAAACAGAGGGTCATTTCAACGCAGGCTTTAGGGTACTTAAACTCAGTATATCTGGCTAAATTTTTGCATACTCTTAGGTCAATGGCTTGACCTTTAGGGAAAACTGTCGGTTTCACTCAAAGCCCTCGACGAGGGCTAAAAAGTGACCGCGAGTGAAATTCTCTTTATATGAGCTCTATTACGAAAAAAAATTTCCTCCGACGACCCCCCTTGAAATTTTGTGAGGTGGTAGGAAAACGCCTTGGGGTGTCACAAAAAACTCGGCATATCTGGGAAAACTTCGTAAAGCGGTCAAAACTGACCAGTTGTATTTCCCTATATAATCTTTGTATTTTATTGGAAAAACAGAGGGTCATTTCAACGCAGGCTTTAGGGTACTTAAACTCAGTATATCTGGCTAAATTTTTGCATACTCTTAGGTCAATGGCTTGACCTTTAGGGAAAACTGTCGGTTTCACTCAAAGCCCTCGACGAGGGCTAAAAAGTGACCGCGAGTGAAATTCTCTTTATATGAGCTCTATTACGAAAAAAAATTTCCTCCGACGACCCCCCTTGAAATTTTGTGAGGTGGTAGGAAAACGCCTTGGGGTGTCACAAAAAACTCGGCATATCTGGGAAAACTTCGTAAAGCGGTCAAAACTGACCAGTTGTATTTCCCTATATAATCTTTGTATTTTATTGGAAAAACAGAGGGTCATTTCAACGCAGGCTTTAGGGTACTTAAACTCAGTATATCTGGCTAAATTTTTGCATACTCTTAGGTCAATGGCTTGACCTTTAGGGAAAACTGTCGGTTTCACTCAAAGCCCTCGACGAGGGCTAAAATGTGACCGCGAGTGAAATTCTCTTTATATGAGCTCTATTACGAAAAAAAATTTCCTCCGACGACCCCCCTTGATATTTTGTGAGGTGGTAGGAGAACGCCTTGGGGTGTCACAAAAAACTCGGCATATCTGGGAAAACTTCGTAAAGCGGTCAAAACTGACCAGTTGTATTTCCCTATATAATCTTTGTATTTTATTGGAAAAACAGAGGGTCATTTCAACGCAGGCTTTAGGGTACTTAAACTCAGTATATCTGGCTAAATTTTTGCATACTCTTAGGTCAATGGCTTGACCTTTAGGGAAAACTGTCGGTTTCACTCAAAGCCCTCGACGAGGGCTAAAAAGTGACCGCGAGTGAAATTCTCTTTATATGAGCTCTATTACGAAAAAAAATTTCCTCCGACGACCCCCCTTGAAATTTTGTGAGGTGGTAGGAAAACGCCTTGGGGTGTCACCAGTGGCGTAGCCAGGATCGTCTCAAGGGGGGGGTTCCAATTTTTACCCGGGGACAAACTTTCGATTTGCACCCCCCCCCCCCCCCCCCTCAAACTTTCGATTTGCACCCCCCCCCTCAAACTTTCGATTTGCACCCCCCCCCCTCAAACTTTCGAATTGCACCCCCCTCAAACTTTCGATTTGCACCCCCCCTCATACTTTTTATATATATACCGAGGGGTCTATGGGGGGGGTTATGACCCCCCCTAACCCCCCCCTGCCTACGCCACTGGGTGTACAAAAAACTCGGCATATCTGGGAAAACTTCGTAAAGGGGTCAAAACTGACCAGTCGTATTTCCCTATATAATCTTTGTATTTTATGGAAAAAAACAGGGTAATTTCAACACAATTTTTACGTTACTTAACCTCTGTACATCATGCTAATGTTTTGCATACACTTCTATAGATGACTAGGCCGTATGGAAAAACTGTTGGTCAGACTCAAAGCCCTCGACCAGTGCTAAAACATGACCGCGAGTGAAATTCTCCTTATATGAGATTTATATAAATAATTTGACGATCGATCCCGTTAATATTATTTGAGGTCGGAGACCGACCCTGGAGGGTAACAAAAAAACTTTAATCCCGTCGGAAAAAGCTATTGTAGTCGTTAAATATGTTTATATATCGTATTTTCTTATATAAGCATAGTAACTGTTTGTTTAAAAAAAAAGTAAACAGAGAGATACGTCATTCGGTTAATTTCCAAGGGAGGTAACCTTTTTAAATAATTATTTTTCAAATAATTGTATACTATTTTAAACAGAAACAGAAAACGATAAAGTATAGCATTTGTTTTAGATTAAAATAAGTTATTAATTAAGCTACGTATCATAGTTAAATAAAAAATTAATTTTAAAAGTCAATGTAATATAAATTATGAGATATACTGTTCATGGAACCTCTGTAGTTCTATTTCCATCTTAGTTATAAATTGCGTACTTTCGAACACTTTCTCTGAAAGCTTATGTTAAAGAGCATAGGCCTACAACATCTTCTCTAAAATTAGCATTACTGTTTACATTTAAGCACTCCACGCCTCATCCATCACCTAATAATTACTATTCAAATTATCAAATGTTTTTGAAAACCTAAGCGAAGCTAGGCAGTATGCCTAGTCTATATATATAAAGCAAAGTGGTCAAGTGCCCGATAGGGCACTTCCCGGCGCCGCAGGCGCGTCAAATTTGGCACGATGGTGCCTTCGGGCGATAGAACACGAAGGACGGTGACGGTTGGCCGAAAAGTCTACGGAGAAGGGGTCAAAACTGACCTCGACTGACCGGCGCCTTATATGGGCTATATTACGAAAAAATTTTTCCTCCGACGACCCCCCTTGAAATTTTGTGAGGTGGTAGGAGAACACCTTGGGGTGTCACAAAAAACTCGCCATGTCCGGGAAAAATCGGGAAATGGGTCAAAACTGACCAGTCGTATTTCCCTATATAATCTTTGTATTTTATGGGAAAAACAGAGGGTCATTTCAACGCAGACTTAAGGGTACTTAAGCTCAGTATATCTGGCTAATTTTTTGCATGCTCCTAGGTCAATTGCTTGACCTTTAGGGAAAACTGTCGGTTACACTCAAAGCCCTCGACGAGGGCTAAAAAGTGACCGCGAGTGAAATTCTCTTTATATGAGCTATATTACGAAAAAGAATTTCCTCCGACGACCCCCCTTGATATTTTGTGAGGTTGTAGAAGAACACCTAGGGGTGTCACAAAAAACTCGGCATATCTGGGAAAACTTCGTAAAGCGGTCAAAACTGACCAGTTGTATTTCCCTATATAATCTTTGTATTTTATGGGAAAAACAGAGGGTCATTTCAACGCAGACTTTAGGGTACTTAAGCTCAGTATATCTGGCTAATTTTTTGCATGCTCCTAGGTCAATGGCTTGACCTTTAGGGAAAACTGTCGGTTACACTCAAAGCCCTCGACGAGGGCTAATAAAAGACCGCGAGTGAAATTCTCTTTATATGAGCTCTATTACGAAAAAAAATTTCCTCCGACGACCCCCCTTGATATTTTGTGAGGTGGTAGAAGAACACCTAGGGGTGTCACAAAAAACTCGGCATATCTGGGAAAACTTCGTAAAGCGGTCAAAACTGACCAGTTGTATTTCCCTATATAATCTTTGTATTTTATGGGAAAAACAGAGGGTCATTTCAACGCAGACTTTAGGGTACTTAAGCTCAGTATATCTGGCTAATTTTTTGCATGCTCCTAGGTCAATGGCTTGACCTTTAGGGAAAACTGTCGGTTACACTCAAAGCCCTCGACGAGGGCTAAAAAGTGACCGCGAGTGAAATTCTCTTTATATAAGCTCTATTACGAAAACAAAATTCCTCCGACGACCCCCCTTGATATTTTGTGAGGTGGTAGAAGAACACCTAGGGGTGTCACAAAAAACTCGGCATATCTGGGAAAACTACGTAAAGCGGTCAAAACTGACCAGTTGTATTTCCCTATATAATCTTTGTATTTTATGGGAAAAACAGAGGGTCATTTCAACGCAGACTTTAGGGTACTTAAGCTCAGTATATCTGGCTAATTTTTTGCATGCTCCTAGGTCAATGGCTTGACCTTTAGGGAAAACTGTCGGTTACACTCAAAGCCCTCGACGAGGGCTAAAACGTGACCGCGAGTGAAATTCTCTTTATATGAGCTCTATTACGAAAAAAATTTTCCTCCGACGACCCCCCTTGATATTTTGTGAGGTGGTAGAAGAACACCTAGGGGTGTCACAAAAAACTCGGCATATCTGGGAAAACTTCGTAAAGGGGTCAAAACTGACCAGTTGTATTTCCCTATATAATCTTTGTATTTTATGGGGAAAACTGGGTAATTTCTACGCAAATTTTAGGGTACTTACTCTTTGTATAACTGGCTAATTTTTTGCATACACCTCTATAGATAGATGGGCCGTATGGAAAACCTGTTGGTCAGCATTAAAGCCCTCGAAGAGGGCTAAAAATGACTGCGAGTGAAATTCTCATTATACGAAATTTGGTCAATTGGTCTATGAGCAGGGGAGGTAACTTTTTAATGTAACAATTTTTTAATATTTTGTATACTCTTTTTAAGAAAAAACAAAAATCATAAAGTATAGCATTGTTTTAAATGGATATTGTGTTATAAATTAAGTTTTGTATTGTATTGTAATTGTAAAATTAATTGCAAAAGTAATTTAATATAATATTTGATTGATAATTTTTATGAAAGCCCTTTCAGTTCTAATAACCTTGCGAGTAATAAGTTGCGAATATTCTATCAATTTATGGGTACTAAAAAAGTACCCCACTGTATAAATTTAGACATTTAATATAACAGCCAATCGCCTATTAATTAATCATTCAATTTCTCAACTTTTTTGAAAACCTAAGCGAAGCTAGGCAGTATGCCTAGTATATATATATATATATATATATATATATAATGTATGTAACAGGTGTTTTTTATTGACTTATTCACTGTAGCCATGTACGCCAACTGCTCCAAATCTCATGATGCCAGGCGATAACATTGACAACGACTGCGACCGACTTTTCGACGAAGAGAAACCGGATGGCATAGGTAATAATTGGTAATAATTGGGCACAGGTGATGGCATTAACTAAGTATATGGAAGGGCCTTACCTGCATATAGCTTTGGGTATAAAATGCATATATATGAGGTAATACTTACATATGCGGAAGGGCATCACCTGAATATAGATATGATTATTAACTGTATATATGAGGCAATACATGAATATATAGGAGTTCATTACTTGTTTATGTGTGTTGGTATTCGCTGCATTTATAATGTGATAGGTTAGGGCTACCTGTATTTATGTGGGGGCATTACATTTAAAATGGTGTTGATCTCCCTACATCTGTGTGGGCTAATGCATGAATATTGGAGAGGGCTTTAACTGTACATAGAAATTTGTATCTTTCAAGTAACACAAAGTTCTTCCTGATCTTCGAACCTGTGACGTAGCACTATAACTTCTGACTTTTGAACCTGTGGTGTAACATTAAACTCTATACCTATTCGAACTTTGAAGCAATGATTTAACACTAATTTATGATTGTATGAACTTTGAACCTGTGATGTACCACCTAACTCTATCACTATTTGAACTTTTAACCTGTGACGTAACACTATCCCCTTTGAAACCGTAATGTAAAATCAAACTCTATAACTCTTTGAACTTTGAACCTGTGATGCACCACTAAACTCTGTCACTATTTGAACTTTGAACTTGTGACGTAAAATTAAACTCTATAACTCTTTGAACTTTGAACCGGTGATGTACCCCTAAACTATAACTCTGACCTTTGACCCAGATAACGACCATGACCAGCGGGTGGATGAAGACCTACTTCCCAACGAACCAAGTAAGTCACTGAATGAATGCAAGTAGGCTACAAGTAAGAAAGAAATATTACTATTGTAAATCTGTATCAGTCCTCACAATCCTATGATGAAAACTGTAATACTAAAGCGAACATGCAAGGCAAACTGACGATGTAAATTACGTGTCTGAGGCGAAAAAAAAAATCCAGAAATTTGAAAAGTAGACACATTTTTTAATCTTCTTCTTCTTTGCTCTTAATTTTAATATTGGAAGGGATCCCCTTCAACACAATCAAGTAAACGTGTCAACTGGTAAGGAGCCATTGAGGCCATTGACTACAATTTCAGCCTGCTTTTTTTTTTGGATTCGCTTCCATAGCCTTTGTCCAACCAAGAACAAACTACAAGGCAGCTGTTGTTTGATTTTGGAGTTGTCTCTCCTATAAGAGTGGCTGTCCCCAGCTACAGAGCCTCATCTGCCCGACGGGTCGACTTCGAGACTTTTCGGTTTAGAAACCATGAGTTTTTACCGACTCGACCACCCCGACACCCTATTTTTTAATCGAAAGAAATATTTCCACCAATTTAATTGATCATAACTGAGGTTCATGTAAGAACTTTTGCGCTCTAGCCGGTGACCTTTACTGGAAACCCATACGCCCAGTGATGCCGTAGTAGTATCATTTTTATTTTATTTTAGAGTAATGTTGTCTCATCTGCCAAAGGGGTTCTAACTAGAGTTTCTTCCAGGCATCTCTTCGGGGCGGAGCCCCCCCCCCCCTCCGCCCCCGAATAAAGTCTACCCCCCACCCCGCCCCGAACGAAATTGAATTCATATAGAAAACATATACTTTAACCAGTGTCCGGCCCCCCCCCCCCCCCCGGAAAATGTTGACCGCCCCCCCCCCCCCGAAAATAGCAAGTATCTCCCGGAGAAAAAAGTCTGGAAGAAACACTGATTCTAACTTGTGACTTTTCTATCATGAGCTTTACAGATCTCAATTGAAAACAACAAAAAAAAACCCAAAGAACTGGGTGACGATGTGAAATAGTTGCTGAACTTGACTCACAGATCCCTTGTTAAATGTAGTCTCGTCAAGTTTAAGTAAAGTACTGTCTCGAACAGAGGCGCAGCGACCCTTCCCGGCGCCTGGGGACAAACTTTCTCCACCTCGGGAGAAAATTTTCAATTTGCACCCCCACCCTTCAAACTTTCGATTTGCACCCCCACCCCCTCCAAAACTTTCGATTTGCACCCCCACCCCCCTCAAACTATTTATAATGCAAAAATGCAGCTAAAATGCCATTTTAATTTTTTTTACTAACCCATTTTGGCGCCCTCTAAGGTCGGCGTCCGGGGACATATGTACCCCCTGCCCCCCCCCCCCCCCCCCATCGCTACGCCTCTGGTCTCGAAACTGGCGGTCCATGCGGCAGGTAGAGTAAAGTTCTCCAGTTACAGTGGCGTCGGCTAATGAAAAAAAAAATAATGCCCGAGTCAGGTACCCACTTGAGCTGGGTGGACTCAATGGCGTCGAAGTGTGTTCTCGTACCGAAACCAAATAGGGAACATAAATGAACAAGAAACACTAAAATTTTAGTTGCCGGTTTGCTGTACTTACGTGATATTGTTCTAGTATATCACGAGGGATTAATGAGAAAATGTAGGATGTACTTAAGTGAAATGTGTTTATATATATATATAGCTAGTATATAGCGAGAGGTTAACTAGAAATTGTGTGTCCACAGTAAACGGGGCTTGGGGCGGCTGGACGGAATGGGCTTGTGTCTTGAACTGCTCGGATAAATTCGGTTATAGAAGCAGGTTAGTTACCTGTAAGATGACCTAGGTCAGTTACCTGTTAGATGGCCTTGATCAGTTACCTATTAGATTTCCTTGGTCAGTTACCTAAGATGACCTACGTCAACTATTTATCCGGTGACCGAGTGACCGAGGTCAACTACTTGTGTAATGGCCAAGGTCAACCACTTGTCTGATGGCCAAGGTCAACTACTTGTCTAATGGCCTTTCTTCTTTTTCTTCTTCTTCTTTTTCGTTCTTAAATTTTAATCTTATGGCCAAAGTCAACGACTTGTCTAATGGCCTTTCTTCTTTTTCTTCTTCTTCTTTTTCGTTCTTAAATTTTAATCTTATGGCCAAAGTCAACTACTTGTCTAATGGCCTTTCTTCTTTTTCTTCTTCTTCTTTTTCGTTCTTATTAAATTTTAATCTAATGGCCAAAGTCAACTACTTGTTTAATGGCCTAGGTCTACTATTTGTCCGATGGACTAAGTCAACTACAATCAGATGACCAAGGCCAGTAACCTGTATTATAAAATTTTTCAACAACTTGTTGTTTTTTTTTGGTTCAATTAGTTGAGTTCAATAAACATGTTCCTACTTAAAAAAAAAACAAAAAACTTTTTATTTTCCCAACAGACAATGTGACCACCCGAGGCCTAAACTTTTTATTTTCCCAACAGACAATGTGACTACCCGAAGCCTAAACTTTTTATTTTCCCAAAAGACAATGTGACTACCCGAAGCCTAAACTTTTTATTTTCCCAACAGACAATGTGACCATCCGAAGCCTAAACTTTATATTTTCCAAACAGACAATGTGACTACCCGAAGCCTAAACTTTTTATTTTCCAAAAGACGATGTGACCATCCGAAGCCTAAACTTTTTATTTTCCCAACAGACAATGTGACCATCCGAAGCCTAAACTTTATATTTTCCAAACAGACAATGTGACCACCCGAAGCCTAAACTTTTTATTTTCCCAACAGACAATGTGACCATCCGAAGCCTAAACTTTTAATTTTCCCAACAGACAATGTGACCACCCGAAGCCTAAACTTTTAATTTTCCCAACAGACAATGTGACCATCCGAAGCCTAAACGTTTTATTTTCCCAACAATGTGACCACCCGAAGCCTAAACTTTTTATTTTCCCAACAGACAATGTGACCATCCGAAGCCTAAACTTCCCCCCCCCCCCCCCAACAGACAATGTGACCATCCGAAGCCTAAACTTTTTATTTTCCAAACAGACAATGTGACCATCCGAAGCCCAAGCACGGAGGGAAGGAGTGTGTCGGTGACTCCAAAGAGTCTTTGGCGGCGTATTGTTTTATGACGGACGTCACTTGCCCCACAGGTGACCCACTTTAAGGGTTTCTTTCAGATATTTATATATGGAATGGTTGTGTGTGTGTGGGGGGGGGTGAGCTCTTGAAAATTTCGGGAAAAGGGGGTCGGATGGGGGGACACTGGTTGAATTATATATTTTGTATATAAATTGTATGTTAATTTTCTATTTCGTGTGATTGGATTGCACATACACACATGCACGTAAAATTATGACTATGCGTATGCTTCTAACTTCCAAGTTAATTCGTTTTTAAATTTGGTAAACGCCAGAATCATAAGGAACAAATCAGTGTATTGATAATATATGTCAAAATACAATATGAACAGTTACTTCCCCCCCCCCCCGACCCCCGGAGAAAAAGGTCTGGAAGAAACATTGATTATGAATAATTAGTTCTCGCCCAGCGCGCCCTTATTATCCAACCTCTATGTTAAAGTTATAATCTACATTAATATACCACCATCATATCCCACAGTTAAGTCTTAGTCCTGATCCAAATTGAAACAAAACATAGAGCAGCCCTTAATATAATCCACCATACCCTTCAACCAACACTCTAACTACAAAGGGTATGAATGTATTGAGCCCCCCCCCCCCCCTCCCCCGCAGAAAAAGTCTTGTAAATACTTTGAATCTAACCACAAACGGTATGAATGTATTGAGCCCCCCCCCCCCCCTCCTCCCGTAGAAAAATGTCTGGAACAAACTTTGAATCTAACCACAAACGGTATGATTGTATTGAGCCCCCCCCCCCCCCGTAGAAAAATGTCTGGAACAAACTTTGAATCTAACCACAAACGGTATGAATGTATTGAGCCCCCACCCCCCCCCCCCCCCGTAGAAAAATGTCTGGAACAAACTTTGAATCTAACCACAAACGGTATGAATGTATTGAGCCCCCCCCCCCCCTCCTCCCGTAGAAAAATGTCTGGAACAAACTTTGAATCTAACCACAAACGGTATGATTGTATTGAGCCCCCCCCCCCCCCCGTAGAAAAATGTCTGGAACAAACTTTGAATCTAACCACAAACGGTATGAATGTATTGAGCCCCCACCCCCCCCCCCCCCCGTAGAAAAATGTCTGGAACAAACTTTGAATCTAACCACAAACGGTATGAATGTATTGAGCCCCCCCCCCCCCCCCAGTAAAAAATGTCTGGAACAAACTTTGAATCTAACCACAAACGGTATGAATGTATTGAGCCCCCCCCCTCCCCCGCAGAAAAAAGTCTTGTAAATACTTTGAATCTAACCACAAACGGTATGAATGTATTGAGCCCAAAAATGTCTGGAACAAACTTTGAATCTAACCACAAACGGTATGAATGTATTGAGCCCCCCCCCCCCCCCCCGTAGAAAAATTGCTGGAACAAACTTTGAATCTAACCACAAACGGTATGAATGTATTGAGCCCCCCCCCCCCCGTAGAAAAATGTCTGAAACAAACTTTGAATCTAACCACAAACGGTATGAATGTATTGAGCCCCCCCCCCCCCCCTTAGAAAAATGTCTGGAACAAACTTTGAATCTAACCACAAACGGTATGAATGTATTGAGCCCCCCCCCCCCCCCCCCGTAGAAAAATGTCTGGAACAAACTTTGAATCTAACCACAAACGGTATGAATGTATTGAGCCACCCCCCCCCCCCCCGTAGAATAATGTCTGGAACAAACTTTGAATCTAACCACAAACGGTATGAATGTATTGAGCCCCCCCCCCCCCCGTAGAAAAATGTCTGGAACAAACTTTGAATCTAACCACAAACGGTATGAATGTATTTAGCCCCCCCTCCCCCCTCCCCCCCGTAGAAAAATGTCTGGAACAAACTTTGAATCTAACCACAAACGGTATGAATGTATTGAGCCCAAAAATGTCTGGAACAAACTTTGAATCTAACCACAAACGGTATGAATGTATTGAGCCTAACCGTGTCCACAGAATGTCCGAAAGGCACGTTTGGTCCAGGCTGTCACCGCAAGTGCCCCAACTGTGCCACGGACTGCGACAAATGGGCCGGCAACTGCTCAACGTGCGCTGAAGGCTTTAAGTTGAAAGAGGGAACCTGTACTCAGAGTAAGGCATTTGTTGACTTGTTACTCTAAAGCTATATATATATATATATATATATATATATATATATATATATATATATATATATATATATATATATATAAAGAGAGAGAGTGAGAGATCATATATATCAGCAATAAGTTATGTATATATATATATATATATGTATATATATATATATATATATATATATATATATATATATATATATATATATATATATACATATATACATTTATTTATATTTATTTATATAATAAAATTAATATACACCTGCAATATATAATTTACTAATAGATTTTATAACACACTAATATAATATATAATATACAATTGGGCCCATTAAAAATGTTCCATAACTTCATTACCCCCCAAACAAAATACGCAACAGACGATAAATTACTTTCACATTGCTCACGTTCCTTATATGTTATAATTCTTTCTGAGTTTAGCCATTTTATGAGTTGCATTTAAGTTTTGAAATAAAAAATATACTTCACCCATACTACGCTTAATTTCTATGAAGCGTATTTCACGTAAAAAATATCGAGTCTTAACTTCCACTGTACTTTACCCTCCAAATAGCCTGCCCGGATTTTTCCTACGGCCAAGACTGCAGATTCAGCTGTCGAGAAAAATGTGGCACGGATTGTATTGACCGAGTTACCGGGGTCTGCCCACCTCGTAAGTATCCCAGATGATGTCCTGCTCAGAGTTTCTTTCGGACTTATCCACTCCCCCCACCCCAACCTCTTAAGTATTCCAGATAACGTCCTGCCTCATTTGCTTCCAGACTCCCCCTCCCCGTCATTCCCCACCCCATCTTCTCGTAGCACGTCTCGACCCCCCCCCCCCCCCCCCCAAATCACCCCGGACGAAATAGTAACAGTGTATACATTTTTTATACAAAAGTGTGGAATTTACCATACCCCCCCCCCCGGGAAAAAAATGTCTAAAAGAAACCCTGGTCCAGCTGGCTTAATATAATGTACTAATTAAGCAATTAAAGAAACATTAATGGACTGACGGTTGGGCTCTAGACTGTTAACCCGGGTTAAAATCCGGGTTCAAGTCCATAGTACGTCCCTGAGTCCTCCCAGCTCTAATGGGTACCTAACTCTTGTTATGGGAAAATTAAGGCGGCTGGCCATACCGCTGGCCACGCTATCCCTCTAACACGACGAGGTCACTGAAACAGATGAACTCTACTTCATCTGCCCCATGTGTCTTGGGTACGACCAGGTAGAGATCCTGATTGCACTCTATTGTTTAATTAAACGACAAATAGGCCTAGCCAGTGTTTCTTTCAGGCATCTATTGGGGCCGGGGGACGTCTACGGCCCGCTCCGCTGAATATATTGGAATTTATATAGAAAGTATATACTTTTACCATTATCCGCCCGGACTAAATTTTCCGCGGAGGGGGGGGGGGGTTACTGGTAAAAAGTCTACATTTTCTACATCAATTATATTTCTTTCAGGGAGGGGGGGGGGGTGAAGAGATGCCTGAAAGGAACTTTGACCGTGGACCACGGTCAAAGTGTTGAAGAAAAAAAATAAGTTCACCAAAAAGGCTAACAATTTGATTGTGTTCTTTCACCGAACATCCGTTTAAAGTTGTAGAATAAAAAAAAAATAAGTTCCTCAAATAGCTAACAATTTGATTGTGTTCTTTCACCTAACATCTGCGTAGTGCTGTTGAAGAAAAAACAAGTTAATAAAAAGTCTAGTGACAATTTAAGCGCAATTTCCTTATGTTATCCATAAGAATTTTTAAAAAAAATTTGTGACCGAACGAAATGATATTTTTTGCGCTAAAAACCAACACGATGCTCAGTTTAAATTAAAAATATCATCCTAGGCTTACACGATGCTCAGTTTAAAAATTCTTAATTAATTTTTTGTGACCGAACGAAAGGATATTTTTGAAAACTTTTTTCGGCAATATTGTTCTAAATTATGGCAGGAATCGATTGGTAAATGTTTTAAGTCGCTAAATGGTCTGGTTGCCGAGATATGGGCCAAAAACTGCATTTTTTCCGAGGTTTTTTGGCTTTTCCGGGAAATCCAGGAAGGAATTCCGGGAAATTTTTTTGGCCCACAATCATCCTTGGAACTTGCTTAACATATTTGCTTTTGGAACTAGTCCTCGATATTGCTTCGTTGAGGAGGAGATACGACTTAAAGCTGCGCACATCCATCCATCCATCCATCACCAGAAATGACGAGTTAATAATCGCAATTGTCCAGTATGGAAATTGCGCTAAAAATAAGTTCACCAAATAGCTAACAATTTGATTGTGTTCTTTCACCGAACATCCGCTTAAAGTTGTAGAATAAAAAAAAATAAGTTCCTCAAATAGCTAACAATTTGATTTTGTTCTTACACCTAACATCTGCGTAGCGTTGTTAAAAAAAAAAATAAGTTCCTCAAATAGCTATCAATTTGATTGTGTTCTTTCACCGAACACCCGCGTAGTGTTGTTGAAGAAAAAAAATAAGCTCACCAAAAAGCTAACAAATTGATTGTATTCTTTCACCTAACATCCGCCTAGTGTTGCTGCACAGTAAGTTCAGCGTGTGGCCGTATCTCTTACTGCTGCTGCTGATTGTCCCTTGCTGTCTGCTCATGTATTTCTTGTAAGTATATCTCGTCTTTCTTATGTAATTGGTGTAATCTTGTCTTTGTGAGGTGTAATCTGTCATTGGGGTATAATCTGGTCCTTGTGGGATGTAATGTATTCTTTACGAGGTGTAATTTGGTTTTTCTTAGGGTGTACACTGACCTTTTAGGAGTGTAATATGGTCTGTGTGTAATCTTGACTTTGTTGGGTGTATTTTGTCTTTACGAGGTGTAATTTGGTTTTTCTTTGGAATATCTGATTTTTGTGGGGTGAATCTGGTTTTTAATCGAGTGTAATTTATTGTTTGTGATGTGTAATAAAACTTGCCTTTGTGGTGTGTAATCTGGTCTGTAGGATGTAATTTGTTGTTTGTAGGATGTAATTTGCTGTTTCTTGGGTCTAATTTGTCTATATGTGGTGCAATACTGTCTTTGTTATTTAAAGGTTGCTTACCTTAATTCTTATGGTGTAATGTGTACCATGTGGCTTAATTTTAGTGTAGCCTAATTAGATTTTGTTGTCCAATGCGACGTTTTTAGCGTGTATGTTCTGCTAGTGAACTTAGTTAAGGATGTAAGTTTAATTTTAAATAGTAATGCTTTCTTTAATGTGTTGTAAAGAGCTTTTATCTTCTTTCCCTCATGAAAAAAATGTGTAGCATTAAACAAAAGAAAAATGAAATACCAATGTTTACTGAAAATCTGAAGTAACAACCTCAACTTATCTGATGTGTTCCGGAAACTTTATACTTGGAACATGCTGCACACTGGCACCATACTTGAAACTTGTTCCAGATACTTGACATGCCCCAGCAGTTTCATGCTTTGAAACAAGTTCTAAGGACTTAACTCTTGATACAAGTTGCACTAGTCGCACACTAGAAATAAGTTCCAGGAACTTAACTCTTGAAACGTGTTGCACAACGTCCACTATTGAAACAAGTTCCAAGAACTTAACTCTTGAAACAAGTTGCACAATGTCCACACTTGAAACAAGTTTCCAGCAGCTTTACCGCAGCAATATGCTTAAGTATCTTTAAACCTGAAACAAGTCCCAGCATCATGTTCCAGTAAATTGTATAATACTTGTAAATGTCAGTGCTTTGTTTTACAATGCTCTATCTGAATACATGCACATTGAATAACCATTAACCTGATATTGTAATGTTATATGTTAAAAGCATTGAGTACACAATTTTCTACATTATCATCTTTTTGTTAGTGTAAAACTTCTATTTATTGAATCTGTTATCATCATCAAGTATGACACTAGGCTTAAAATATTCTCCAAAAATGTTTTCAATGATATTATATTTCTTGTGTGTCTGCAGCAAATATTTTTTAAGGTTAAAAGTATTGTATTCAAGTTTTTACGTTGATTTTTTGCAATTTTTTCTCAAATATCTCTATGAAAAACTAGATTTTTTTGATTATCTGAACTCATCCAATGTATAAGAAATATTGTATTGTTTAAAAAAATAAAAAGACAATTTTAAAATATGCAGTATATATTTTTTTAGAAACTATTATCCTGTTGTAGTATATTGTTGTAGTATGGCTAAAAAATAAAAAAATATACAATGTCAAATATATGTAAATATTAACATTTTCTGACTAAATGTATGTAGTCTTGATACATTGGGACATAAGTGTCTATTTTTATTGCAAATGAGAGATTTGTGTGAGTGATGAATTGTAATGTGAATGTTGAAAAGATGCAACAAATACATTAAATGCAACAGTGTATTTAACTTACTTGAGGTGATTAGTTACTTTGCTATGTAAATATGTTGAATACACCATGTTGACTTTTTTTGTTTTATTTATTACTTTCATTTTTAAAATGTTAATTGATAAGATATTCAAGCTAATACTGAACAATTATATAAAACAGAAATGCATTTGTTTGAAATTTGTACATACAATCAGAAATGATGTAAAAACAGACACAAGTGTATAAAACAATAAATAAAATAATAAACACTATATTTCATGTTTAGGCAAAATTTTTATTATGGCAAATTTTTGTATTGTTTTAAAAATGTAAAACATTACATTTAAATATTCACATGTGGTCAACTATTCACATTAAATGTCAGGGGTGTAAGCAGTAAACTGCCTCTTACTCTCCTTAATGTAGGTTGTCACTTTTTTTTAAAACAAAAATTAAACTTTCAATTACAGCTGTAGTTATCAAATTCACAATATTTTAAAAAGATGAAATTACATGTTATAATAATTATTTTTTTAATTGGTGAAAACATGAGTCTAACATGCAGCGATGAATATGCTTGGTTGATATGCGTTTTATAAGGAAAAAAATATATCAAATGAAGTTACCATACATAATGATTTTGTTGATGAAAATTACATTAAAATATACATATTTTTTTATTGGAAAGTATTCAA